GTACATTGAAATTTTGGAAAACTCGCTTATTCCTAGCATTGATTTATGGCAGTTGCAAGATGGATTTATTTTCCAGCAAGATAATGCGCCGTGTCATAAAGCGCATGTTGTTAGCGATTGGTTCAATTCTAATAAAATTCAAGTGCTTCCATGGCCTGCCAATAGTCCAGACTTGAATCCAATAGAGAATTTATGGTTGTGGCTTGATCACAAGCTTGGTAAAGAACATCTTTACAATTTGGAAGATTTGAAATCTTCTATCTCTTATCATTTGAAAAATGTGCCTGATGAAGAATCAAAACTTTAATGAATTCAATGCCAGAACGACTACAAGAGTGCTTGAAAACAAATAGAGGAACAACAAGTTTCTAAATTATTTTTTTAGTGCTTTTTGAAATTTTTTTGAAACTGGTCTTAAAATTTTGTCCAATTTTTTTTTTCATTTTATATTTTTTACTAGTCAGTTTTTTAATTTTTTAACATTATTTTGTAAAAAAATTATAAATTCTTTTATAATAAATATAAAATACAATAAAAATTCTTTCTAAAAATGTTTTTAGCAGAGTATTTTTTGAGGGGAAAACCCATACTCTGTCGCTATTGGTTGCAATGTAAAGTTCAAGTCGAGCTTGACTCAAGTTCGCTTCTTGCATTCCACCCTAAGGGTTTATCTGTTCACAGGCTCCGAGCAGTGCAATTTTTTACAAACATTCTCATTTGACATAAACATGAGCATAGTTTAAACAATTGCAAAAGTGTCATATTTGAAACATCAACTCCTTCAAAACAGTCCAAATTGAAGTCCCCTACAATGTAATACTTTTTAATTTCATGATTAGTTTTTTTTTATCTATATTTAAAAAAATTGCTAACGTGTTTAGTTCTTCTAGTAGGAGGCCGATAAAAACAGTAGAACATTTTTTAGTAAGTATCGATTACACAACTAATAGATTTCGTGGAGTGTTTATTGAAAAAAATGTTGGACAGCCAACTTAAACGCTATCAACACAAATATCTAAAAATTCTGGTTTACTTATACAGCTAGACTATTCCTGTCACAAAAAAATCTAACACTTCTTTACTTTTCTTTTATACACAGTCATAAATGCTAACATAACTAGGGCAAGAACATATGACAAAAATATTCTTCTAGAATAATACATCATAAAAACAAATTTACATATGTTGAATCCCTATTTAAAAAAAAGTTCTAAACATCAAACTGATATCTTTTCTGATGCTATTGGTGCTAAAATATACAATGGGATTAGCTCGATTTACATAAAACCTTTTTCAATACCAAAAATTTTAACACAAAAGCAACTAGTAAATTTATTGTACCCCCAAAAAAAAGAAAAATTCTCAAATCTCTATTTTTTATCGTAGCTCCTTTTTATATAAAGAGATTATTTCCGAAATACACATTAATTACTCTTCCAAACAAAATATTTTCTTTTAAATTGAAACTTAAAAACCTTGTTCTTAACTAAATAGAAATGTTCTAGTTCTCATGGTAAATCAAAATTTACACTATATTTGCTTTATCAAATTAGTTCAAATTACGAAAAGTACTTCTAGAAAATTGCCCCTTAGCAACCGTTGCTATACAAGTTATCTTAAAATAAACAACCATTGTAACCAAAAATAATTGAAAAGGCTTTTGAACTTAGATATGCATTTTTTTTGGTTTCCTTGTAAAAGGTTTGTTAATATTTCACTAAAATCAAAAAAATCAAAAAAATTAAAGTTTTTCATTTATTTAATCGTGAATAAGTTTTTTTTTTTAGTATATCACAATTGTCTTGTCAATTTTTCATTTTATTTTTTTGAAAATTTATATTTTCTATAACCATTGTAAAACATGTCTGTAAATGCATTATTGAATAGTTGTTGAATAGAAGTCTTTTTGTCATTTTAACATACATACATACATACATACATACATACCTACATACATACATACATACATACATACATACATACATACATACATACATACATACATACATACATACATACATACATACATACATACATACATACATACATACATACATACATACATACATACATACATACATACATACATACATACATACATACATACATACATACATACATACATACATACATACATACATACATACATACATACATACATACATACATACATACATACATACATACATACATACATACATACATACATACATACATACATACACTATATATAACATTTTTCAAGAAAAAATTTACAGAATTAGTACATAAGAACAAAGTATATGTTTACAATAAAATATAACTTTAACAATAAAGTATTTTACTGGAAAAAACATAATAAGAAAACTTAAAATCAAAATATAAAAAAAAAACAGATTTTTCATCAATTGAAATTATAATATTTTTTAGTTTTTGTTTAAAGGAGGGATACATTTTTTTAAAAGTATTAAAATTTTTTGAAACTATTTTTTCCCACAGAAAAGTTCCTCCAAATGAAATGCAAACTTTCCAAAATTTGTATGGTTAGCAGGTTATCGAATAGCTTTATTATTTCTTAAGATATATTTGTTCTTGTTTTTTAAAGTACGTAAATTTTGAAAGAGTTCACGAGATAAAATGTTTTTACATTTATACATAAAACAATGAACATTGAAAATATTCAGCTCGTATATACTAAAAACATTCATGTCAATTAGGAGAGGCTTGATATGAGTAATATGATCCCTAAAACTAATAAGGCGTGCAACATGTTTTTGTTGACGATATAGAGGTTCAAGTTTACTTTTATTTTTTTTACCCCAGGCAACATTTGTATAGTTTAGGTGGAAATGGATAAATAAATGATATAGTTGAGGTAAAGTTCGCTTATTTAGGATGTTTCTTGTTTTATATAATATTTCAATACTTTTAGATATTTTATTCCCCTAATATTATATGCGCTTTTTCCATGAGAGATTTTCATCAATATAAACGCCTAGAAATTTGGTAAAGCTTACTATTTTATTAGAGTATTGCCAATAAAAAGAAAGACATGCCGTTTGGCAGTAAGTGTTTTTTAAAATGAGGGTAGAAGAAAATCCATTTGGTTTTATCAATATTGAGAGAATTATTTATTTGTCTTGAACCAATCAGAGATAATTTATGTTATTGTGAGATAAAAACAGATTAGCGTCATTTGCGAAAACAATGTACATTAAGTTTGAGGTTATATAGAGATCATTGATGCAAATAAGAAATAGTAAGGGTCCTAATATTGATCCCTGTGGTCCTCCACATGTTATTTCAAACAAATTTCTAATCAAATTTTATTCAACGTAGACAAATTGCTTGCGATTACTTAGACAGTTTGTAATGCATTTTAGAACATTACCAGTTATTCCATAATATTCTAATTTTTTTTATAAGAATTTCATGATCTATGGTATCAAACGCCTTAGCTAAATTTTTGAAAACTGCCAAAGTATATTGGAAATTTTTTAAAAGATTCAGTTATACTTCTTGAAAACTAGATAACTGCATGTTCGTAGAATTATTTTTTTTAAAACCATATTTGTTGTTATATATGAGATTTTTATTTAATTGGTGATTATATATTCTATTATAAAAAATTATTTTTTAAACTTTTGAGATAACAAAAAGAATGGATATAGGACGCTAATTGTAAATCTTCTCCTTTAAATATTGGTATAACCTTTGCTATTTTTAATTGATACGGAAATATTCCTTGTCTGAGGAATATGAAAATATCCTGAAAACAACATTTTTTAAGACATCATATGAATTAATAACATATTTCCATTGATGTCATCATGGCCAACGGCTTTGATAGGTTTAGCATTTAAAAACACATTCAAGTTCATAAATAGTTAACTCATAGGAATTAAAATGTGGTGTTAAGAGGTAAGTAAGATATTTACAAAATTATCACTTAGTTAAGTTTTTTTGGCTAGGTTTGGGCCAACAGATGCAAAATATTTATTTTTCTTTTTTCTCGATTAATCAAGAACTCTTCGTTTATTTTAATGGTTGAGGACAAAGACATTTTTGTTTTGTTACATCCTGTAATTTCTTGAATGATTTCTCAAGTGCGTTTAGAATTTAGTTTATATTTTTCTTGCAAATTAGTATAGTATTTATATTTTTAAGATTTATATTTATGAAAATATTTACTTGATTCTTATTCAAGCTATATTATTACTCTTGGTTTCACTAGTCTCCAGTTGGAGAGCAAAAAAAGATAAGAGTATTTATTGCAAAAAATTTCAAAAACATTACAAAAAAATTATAGGTTTAGTTGGGTGTGAGTAAGAAACTCTCTAAAGGTAGTTTATGGAATTAGAAATTATAAGCTCGACCAAGCGTCATTAATCTACCTTGATGTTGACGTATTAAAAAAAAATTTAATTTTTTTAAGAATAGTTAAATATTACGAAAAATTACGTTTGCGAAAAAAATTGAACTTGCGGAACAGCTCTAATTTTTTAATGGTATTATGATATAGTGGCCAGTATTAGATTGCTGTACAATACAAGTGAAATCAATCAAGAAGTCCAAATTCTTACTGACATAATCAAAATATTATCCAACTATTTTTGAAACGGAGTGTCTATTGGTTCATTTTTTACGTGCAAAAATATAATATATTTAAACTTATTTATTGTCATATGGGGAAGCCTTGCCACAGCTATATATATATGTATATATATATATATATATATATATATATATATATATATATATATATATATATATATATATATATATATATATATATATATATATATATATATATATATATATATATATATTATATATATATTTACTTTTTGCGTCCCGTGCCCCGTGTGTCATTATAAAAAAAATTAATTATTTTTAATAAGCCAATAAATGCATGCAAATAGCATCACTCGTTTTTTTTAAAAAAAAATAAGGAATTATTTGGAACAGGCGCAGTTAAGTTGCAACAGCACAAACAAATTAACTAATAAATTATTTAATACCTTTTGCAGGATACATACACGAGTAAAGTTCTTGCAATGAGCAAAATGGAAGCCCGTTTTCTAAAAATGTTAAAATAAAAAAATATTTAGTTTTTACAATATATTTAACATAACTTGCAAATAGAAGTAAGTAATAATTAGAAAGTATTTAAATAAACAACCCAGCGAGCATTTATTTTTAAAGTTAGGCTCTAAATGTGTTTTAAATGTCTTTTAAACGTTTTTTAAACATTCTTCCATAAAGAACGTTTAAAAGACATTTAAAAAGTAACTATTAAAAACAAATGCCCGTAAGGAATAGAAGTATCACCTGGCATAAAAACATCTCTGCATCCGCATAAATCGCCGGTAAAATCTGTCAATGTTTCAAGAAGACAAAGCCTTTGGCTGTATATGGCATAATATTTCAACTTTTTTTGTCCACATTCGGTTGAGTAAGGCGGAGGAAGACTTTGAGACTAAATTAAAAAAAAAAGTAAGTTGTACACATATCTTTAATATTATTATTTATTTAAATTTATTTTTTTAAACCAGCTTGATATTTAAAAAATTTGAACTTAGTTTATTCCCAATTTAACATATGTTTTAAAGCCAGGAGGAAAAAGAAATTTTAAAAACCTGAGTTATTCCTAGTTTAATGTATGTTTTAAATCCAGGAGAAATGAAAAATCCATCAACAAGCTGTGGAGGAAAAACTTGATCATGAATTACTATTCTCATTCCAGAAAGTTGATAATTTTTAATAACTTCATTTGTTTGTAAATCAAACACAAGCTCATAACCATGCGAAATTCCTACATCACTAACTTTTAAAAGTTCATGCCCTTTTGCTCCAGAGTTAAGTGTATGGCATTGTTCTCCTTTGTAATTGAAATAAGAAGTAAAGTTTAAAGCTCCACAATTATTCGGAGTAACTAGCGGATGACTTGTATCTTGCATGATCCAATCACAATACTTTAATAGTGATTCTATTGTTAATGAACTGTTTTTAAGTGTTTTAACTAATTCATCGCCCGGTATATTGTATTCAGGGATACTTTGATTATTATCTAAAGGTAATCTTCCTTCTTTATACATTGTATTTAATTGATTAGTATAAACCTGGGAAGCTATATAACTGTTTGTTGCACATACGCTTACAGCTGGAAAGAGCAAATCATCAACGTATTCAACTGTTGACAAAGTGCTGAACGGATAATCAAAGTACTCTTTAATCCCATATCGAAGTTTAAAAATGAAATAAATTGCACCAAGAATCATTAAAACAGCCCATATTAATCTTCTTCCTAAAAATGTATCCATACAAACATAGCAAAAACCATGAAGGGTTGAGCTTTCAATATATCTTTTGAAAATTTGTTTTACGGTCAATCTTTCTTGAACAATTTTTCGCATTCTTTCTTTCAGGCGTATTCTCATTTTAGAAGCTTCTCTAAACTTTGTTGTGGCTGTTTTAGCCGCAGTAACTGCGGTAACAACCTTTAATAGTTTTGGTGTTGTAGTAAGCGGTTTGTCGTTGGAAGGCATTACCTTTTTTGTAAACTCATCTGTTGGTTTTACAATTAAGCTAGTGCGTTCTTTTATTGTTCCCCATTTATCCGCTTGTTTTGGTATTGTGTTACTACGCTTCATTAAAACTCCAGGTTTTACGGCAGGAGGTTCTATATTCCCTTTTACTGGAGAATTGTCTTTTTTGTATGCTGAAATATCGGTAATTGTGTCAAGTTCAGTCAAGTTCAGGTCGTATGCAGAATCTATCACTGGTTTTGTATTTTCAGATTTTAATAAAAGTTGCTCGGCATTTTTTTTCGTTAAAGCTGCCCATTTAGCACTTCCGATTAAGTTTGATGAATGTTTTGATTTTTCAATTTTACAATTTTCTGACGAGAATCTTCTATCAAAAGTTTTGTTGTTATTACTTATAGAGGGAAAAGAAGCTTCATTTGAATCGACTTCTTCATTTATAATTTGATAATAACTTGCCTGATCCTTCAACATTGACCATCTTTTGTTAATTTTTTTTGATTTATACTCATCTTCAAAAAATGCGCAGTTTTTTTTCTTTGAACAATTATCTTCTTTTGAATCTTCTATTAATGGTTTATGTTCGTTTTGAGAAATTTCTTCATCGAAATGTTGAAAATTGTTTGGTATTTCAAAGTTCGGAAACATATTTCTTGAACTCATATTATAGCTAATATATATATATATATATATACATATATATATATAGATATATATATATATATATATATATATATATATATATATATATATATATATATATATATATATATATATATATATATATATATATATATATATATATATATATATATATATATATATATATATATATATATATATATATATATATATATATATATATATATAGATATATATATAGATATATATATATATATATATATATATATATATATATATATATATATATATATATATATATATATATATATATATATATATATATATATATATATATATATATATATATATATATATATATATATAAACTGTGATAACACTTTAACAAAAAAAGAGTAACGAGCTGTTAACAAAAAAAAAACGAGCAGTTAAAAATATTTTTTAAATTGAGATTTTGTTGTTAATATTTTTAATTATTACATCTGTTTAAAACTTTCTAAAAAAAAAAATACTGACTTTTTTTGTTGCTGATGCTAGATTTAAGTAAAATAATTCCATATCTGATGCCATGGTTTTAAAATTAACATTCTGACGTTTTTTATTTAATCTTTGAGAAATCAATTTGCATCAAACGTTAAAGTAAAACATTTTTATGAAAGATGTATGATATAGCTTAAGACATAATATATTGAATAAGCGATAAACATGTAATTTTTTTCTAGACAAGATAACGTATCATTAGCCTTGCAATAGTTCTATTTAATTTATTTAATCATATATAATTATATAATTAAATTAAAGTTTGTATGAAAATTTAGAACTTTCTTTTTGTTCTTTCAGACCGTCGAATACTTATCATTTAGATATTTTTTTTTCTTTTTCATTGTGAAAACAAATAAACTACGCTTTTGTTGTTTTGATTGTACTTATTTAAAAAAAAATGCATCAAATAAAAAAATAAACCAAAAAAAAAGTTCCAAATTAAACCTAGTTTATCAAAACAAAAACAAAAAACAAAAAAAAAGAAAGAAAGACGCTATTCTTTGAGCCACCCAATGATTGCTAACAAATGAATTACAAGTTTCGAAAAAAAAATTACAAGACGCGTTAATAAAATATATTCCAATCATTTTTTTTTTAATTTGCTTATCTAATTTAGAAATTTACGTTGTGTGCGAGTTGAAGAGTTGAAATATCTTAGCTTCTGAAATATATTCGCTTCTATTTCTAAAAAAATATTTTACACTTTTTAAAATTCGTTGACCAACAGTTGAATGGTGTGAAGTACGCAAGATTATCTTTCCTTATTAAAAATACTTGTTGTCCAATTATTAAACAACATTTCTGCATCTGTTGGAAACTTGCCTCTCTTGCATTATTTTAAAAATGTTGTGTTATTTTTAAAAAACTTTTTAATTCGGTAAACTTTTATAATTGATTGAGTGAAAATTTTCCAGTCGTCAAGCTGTTATCAAAGTAACATTAAAAATAGTTTTTGTCTAATTATTTTACGGCATTTTTCAATCTGTTGGAAACTTGCTTTTGTTGCATCACTTACTTAGAAAATGTTTAATGAGTTTTTCTCACAAAACTTTTTAATTCGGTGAACATTTAAAATTTTGATTACGCAAAAATATTTTAGTCGTTTAGCTGTTATGAAAGTAACAGTCGAGTTGCTATTAATTGAAAAGCAGGTTGTTTGCATAAACGGTAACTTGATCAATAAACATTTACAAGCCTCCCCAAGTTAGGAATACTTTTTAAACTTTTTTTTTTTTAATGATTAAAAAATATATATAGTAAGGTGAGGTGAACAAGCACTTTTTAAAAGGTTTTTTTGTTCTTAAAATCATTAAAAAAAAAAAAAAAGATTTTTTTTAGTATTTTATAGAGTTTTCCCAGTCAGCAACTTGGCATCATAATTAGGGTAGATTAGGGTAATATGAGCACCTTGGTAATATGAGCATACTTAAAGATTTATTAGATGTAAGCAGTGAAGTTAAAGTTGCTTTATGTTTTTCGAATCAACGCGGTGATAACAGGAATCAGTATAATTAGCGTAAATTTATACGCAGTAATTAGAGGATATCATCTAATTAAAACGCTTTTAAATTTTTTGCTTTGTTTAAAAAAATCATCACGCGTGAATAATTCTGTGGCGCGATATTTTGGTGCTAAAATAATGAAATTAACTTTTTCATAAAGAAAAATATATTAGCTAAAAATCCAATTCATTTTTGTTTGAAAAATAATGCATAGAAACATTTATTTTTGACTTTATTTAAAGATACCATTTTTGTGTAATATGAGCATGCTCAAATTACCCAGTGCTTTTCATTAAAATTGCTTAGTTTAAAGTCCTAAAATAGCAGTGGTTTTTAATTGCTTCTTGAATAAAAACAAAACATAGTAAAAAATTTTAATATATTAAAAATACTAAATATTTTTCTGTAACTTAAATCTGAAAAATTTTAATTTTCATTGTTCAAAGGTTTGAGTTAACAAAATTGAAAAAACAATATATTAATTTTTTTTTTTATGCGGAAAACATAGTAGTATTGTTTCAACAAAATGTAGCTTAAAATTTGATCTTTTAATGAAAGGTTTTGTTAATCACGAATCCTTATATTCCAACAATTAGTTCTATTAAGCAGGTTGGTCTTTTTTTACTTAATTAATGCTATTTTTTTTGAGCTAATTTAAAGTGCTCATATTAACAAGGGGTCAGGGTAATACGAGCACTTTTGCTACTTTTTTAAAACCTCTGAAAAACATTGAAAGGAATGCTTAAGTCAAAGAATCAAGTAAAGGTTGGTGGAATGCTTACATATAATGAATCTTTCACGATTACATGAAATGAAATCAAACAAAGCGATCCTTAAACTAAAAGAGTTAATCTTAAGATAAAATGTAACAAGATATTAAATAACAACAGATCTAAAATCCAACATTCTCAAAAAGTTAAAATCCACACATGACAATGTTGCGCAATGCTGGTAAGAAAAAAACATCAGGAGCTAAAAGCGTTTAAAATATCAAAATATTATCTAGTTGTTTCAGAAATTAAAACAAACACGTTTACTGGATAAACAGACTACTGTCAATGTTACCCTATATAGGATTAACATTGACAGTAGAAACACATCAAATTAATTATCTATCAATACTATTAGATAACTAATTAAATTCTTCATCAGTTTTTGGCAGCAATATCATTGGTAAACGTGTAGAAATACTGCATACCACATTTAGTTTGTCACAACTAAAAAAAATTATTATTTTCTAAATATGTGTCAATGTTACTCCGCTTTACCTTAATTATAATTAAAAAAAAATATGAAAAAATATTAAAAAATATATTTAGGGGAAAGCGGGCAACATGGCGAATGGGGCAAGATGGGTTTTCATATAACAACTCAACAAAAAATTTTAAAATTGGGTGAAAACGAAACTGTATTTGCATCTTGTAGTTTAAAACACCAATTGGTTTTTTGAAATATTATTAACACCATTTTATACAAATAAGTTTACTTTTTGCGCTTAAAATAAAATTCCTCACTTTCGGTTTCTCATAATGGTTGGTGTCCTTCAAGTTTAACTTGAAGTTAACTTAAGTAGTTTTTGCAATTTGTGTTTATTTTTTGTTACTTTAATTAGAGTTATTGGCAATTTTTAAAGTTTTATAAAATTGGAGGTAAAAATTGCATAATAAGTTATCTTGCCCCGGTCACGTGACCAGATGACAAATTTATGAACTTTTTATTTTAATATTTATTTCAAATTGTTATATTTGCAAACTGAAAATTCATGCAGGCAATGAAAGAACTTAATAGCATAAACATACTGAGAAAGTATTATGGCATCACGACTTATAGTTTTTCAATAACTTAGGGCTTTCAAAACGTTCGCCATGTTGCCCCGCTTTCCCCTAATCAAATTTAATAAACTTATATATGACAAAATATATTTATTGTAACTGTTATTTCAGTATATGTTATAATTAATCTTAAAAAAATTTAATTAAAATAGTATATACAAAAGTGTATATATTTTTAATCTATGCATATAGAATTATAACTGCAGCATAATATTAAGTATACTATTTTAATTATATTTTACAATTATAATGTACTAATAATTTATATGTAATATTTTGCTAATAATATGTTTACTCTGTATATTAAAATAACACGAGGATATAAAAATTCGAGAGCAAAAATAAATGATATTTTATATATTAAATTATATTTATCATGATGACATGACAATAACCCCTGGTGACAAAAATTTTGCACAATCTTTGAGAAGCTAAAACTTATTGAATTTTTAGTTATCCAGTCTTACTTTTTTAATTGTTTTGTTTATAAAGTGTTAGTTATTTTTTACTAAAAGTCTTGTTTACTTAGATTAATGAATAAAAAACTTATACAAAAATGAAGCCGACTACATTAATTGAACATGAGCACAACTATTGTAATTTGCATCCTAACGCTAAAACGAAGAGCATCGTAAAGAATTTTATTGCCTCTAATCACCCCGAAAGAACGATCAAACGTTATATGACAAAGTGAAAGAATAGTGAGCCAAAGTTTCGTAAGCCTGGATCAGGAAGAAAATCAAAAGTTATGACTTCTAGGAACATCAATCACCTGAAAATATCTTTTGAACAACCGGTCTGGAACTTCAACAAGAAAAACTGCAAATAAATTCAAGTGTGATCATTCCTATATTGTAAAAACATTAAAATAAAAAACAAACATTTGTTATTTTAAGAAAAAATAAATCCCTAATCGCACTGATAAACAGTTAAAGCAGTTGCAACTAAAGTGTGGAAGAATTTGTCGTTCAGAAACTGCGACGTTGTCATTGACGATGAGTCTTATTTTACATTTAAACATACGAATAAAAATTCTAATGGTGGATTTTACTCAGATGAAGCAAAAAATGCATCAAAAAATGTAAAATATAAACGCAAAAGCAAATTTGAAAAAAAAATCTTGTGTGGATTACCATATCCTCTCGACGAATCTCAAAACCATTTATTGTTCCTGCGAGACAGGCAATTGACCAAATGTTGTAGAAAAATGATTGCATCATCAAACGATTGATTCCTTTTATCAACAAACATCACAGTAATGGCAATTATTTATTCTGGCCTGACTTGGTCTTTTCACATTATGCTAGAAGTGTGACTAATTACCTTTGTGTCCAATTAACTAAAGTTGATAATCCGGCATGTGTCCCAGAATTACGACTAATAGAAGATTTTTGGTCAATCCTTAAATGCTACGTGTATGAAAAACAATTGGGAAGCTGAAAATGAAGATCAGCTATAAAATCCATTCTTTTTTAACAAAAAAAATGATAAAAATCTTAGGCAAGGCATGTGCGAACATGTTTACAGAAAAGTTGACGCAGTACGTCGTAATAGCGAGAAAGCATTATTTCAGTCCTGAAAGTAAAAAACTAATATATTTCTTAATATTTTGTACTAATATTTTGTTGATTAAACTTTTTGTTGTACTATTACTGCTTGTGTTTATTTTGTGCCAAATTTTTGTCACCAGGGGTTAGTATGTATTTTTCTTATTATTAATATGAATGAAAATTGAATGAAAAAACACAAAATTATATAA